TCATTTTTATAAATTCCAGTTCTATTAATAGAATTTTTTTTCCTAAAAAGTAAAACAAAATATAATAAACACAGGCAAAAGACAAACAACAACTTGGGAAAATATTTCCAACATGTATTTCAGACAAAATGTTAATATTTCTCAAATACTGAAGAAAAGAATAGACAAAGGGGCTGATCGATGCATTCACAAAAGAAATAGGAAGAGTAAATAAGTATGTTAAAATATATCATCTTTGCTAGCACTGAAATGCTGAAACAAAATATTCAACCCTAGTGTAATCATTTTGGTCTATTATTTGGAAAGATTAAAATAATATACAACACGCAGTGTTGGAGAGGGTGCTGGGAAAATCAGGGTTCCTAAGAACAGTTACCCCCTCCAAATAGGGTGAAAGTTGATATATCCCATCACTGATCCATGAATCAAAGGCTAAATTGGGGATATCCCTTGATAGGTTAATTCACTGCTAGGGAAGTAATTCTTAGGAGATAGTCAAAGCATTGTGCAGAGACACGTGTATAAAGAATGCTCATCAAAGAATTACTTTCCTTTAGCCCCTAGAAGGCAATCTTTAAATACTGTTTATCACTGAAAAGAATCAGAAGTCACTGGAGGAATGGTTCTCTTAGGTCTGGGGCAGGAGATATACAAGTGAGCCTGGACCAGGAAGCCAAGGAAGCATCTGGCCTGCGATTCCTTCATTCTCTTCACTGGGAAATGTCCTCGGGGGACAGAAAAGAAGACAGGTGACCAGGCCTTATCTCCTTGTCAATTGAACCTTCAAGTAAACAGACTAATTGTTAGGAGGAAAAGATGTTATTTATTGAATGTCCTTAGCAGAAAATCCCCAAAGGATTTCTTAAAGTAAATAAACCCAGAATCCATGAGGCATGATTAGAGAATCTCCTTGAGAAGCTTTACAGTGAGCTCCCTGGAGTATAAAATGGAATGTTTCATAATTTACATTTTATAATTTAAATGGGTCCCCATATGAGGAACCCTGTGAACCTCACTTAGAGACTCCATCTATTACTCCAAACTGTTATTATTTTATTATTATTTTTTTTGAAACAGAGTTTCACTCTGTTGCCTGGGCTAGAGTGCCGTGGCATCAGCCTAGCTCACAGCAACCTCAAACTCCTGGCTCAAGCGATC